CGTGGCCTTATCCCCCGTGCGTGGCCTTATCCCCTATGTGTCTGCGTCTTGGCCTCTTCTTTTAAGGACACTAGTCAGTGGATTTAGGCCCCACCCTAATCTGGAATGACCTCATCATAATTTACATCTTTGTTATGTAAAGACCCTATTTTCAAGGTCATATTGTGACTTTCTGGGTCAACATGAATTTGGGGGTTCCCCAGGGCAGATGCAGGAGAAGCATGAGGATGGGTGTTGTGGTAATGGCCTATGCTTCAGTCTTGTGACTCCCCCAAACTTTGTGGTACAGTGGAGCTCACCCAATTATTTACAAACCTGGGGACTTGTTGGCAGCTGCCTAAGCGACAGTTTTTACTGAGATGCAGGTCCTGGTGACTTGACTGCCAAGAAGTGACTAGACTCTGTTCCACGGGGGAGGGGGGATGTGAGTGCCTGGGGAGGCGGCTGAGCTTGAGTCTCAGGTCTGCTGCTGATCCGAGGGGGGCACGTGGTGCTTGCTGGGCCTCAGTTCTGTGTGTAATGTAGGTGCACAAGGTCCATCTGGACGGTCTTCCAAAGCCTGAGTGAGAAAGTGTCTCTATGGACAGTAGCTCACAACAGCTTGTAAGAGAGAAGTGATAGCCAACATTGAGTTGGTTGTTCTTTTTTGAACTCTCTGTCAATTAGGATTCTTTTTGGTTGCAAGTAACAGAAATTCCACCTCAAACTAGCATATGCCATGAGAGTCTGTTTGCTTTTATAACTGTGAAGCTGTAGGGTCAGCTTCAGCTGCCACTCCAGGGCACTGATGAGGATCCACGCATCAGGCCGAGGGCGCACACTGTGCTGTGAGGTGCCACTGCAGGGCCAGACCTGCATCTTAACACCACACAGACTAGAGTCTCTTAGTTCCTAAGGAGAAGCAGGAGGCTTCTGGACACCCTCTTTAGGTCCCATTGGGCAGGGACCCACTGATGGGGTCACTTATCTGTCCCTGAACCAGTTAGGGATGCAGGTGGCAAGAGCCAATCCGCGACTCCCTGCAACGTGGGCCAGTTTCAGTCCTGCCTTCTCCTAACCCACATGCTGACGGTGAGTATGGGAGAAGGGGAAGCTTGCTCAGTCCTGCGCACTCAGGTGACAGC